AAGGCCTGGCGCAATATGGTTCATGGGGTCACGAAGAGTTGGACACGACTTAATGACTGAACAACAACAGATATGCACAGCACAGGCAATTGCTGGGGGAGTAAGCTTTGAGAGGTGGTTAAATCCATGACTGTTGGGTGGTTTCCCACCACTTGGTGCCTTCTGCTGTAGCATGTAATAATACTGCTGTATTCTTTGGAACATGAAATGTAGTATTTTTGTGTTATGTTAGCTGGCTTTCAAAATGGAAAATATTTTGCTAAGTGGTAAGAGAAAAGCTAAAGATGACTAACCAGTCTACTAAGGGAGCTGATAAAAGTGAGCCTAAATCAGAAAAGTAAAATTAAAGTTACTTATCTTTTAAAGTAGTTTAATTTCTTGCCCAACCCTAACTCCAGTGAGATAATTAGTTTTATTCAAATTAATTTCTCACTTTAAGGGGTCCTAGTGCTGCAGTTTGAAAACCCCTGCTTTAGCACAATATAAAATGCTACATTCTTTATATTTGAATAACCATCAGTATCACACCAACATCCAATATTGTTTCTAGAAGGATAGGTATGCAGTTGCAGCAAATTTGTGATGCTTTGTAAATTAAACATGTTACTGTAGACCTCTATTAGTTTTAACATGCCACCAGTGTATTTTTCTTAAAAGTGTATTGTTGCCAGCCTGTTTGTAAATATGCAAGCTTCTACCAAGTAGATTAATAATGCAGGGAAAGCCTTCATTGCCATAACCCACATCAGTCTGGTCCAGAATTATGCTCTGTATATTATCTATATGCTGCAAACTCCCTATTCATATACTTCAAGTATTCCAATTTTTTTTCTTAGATTGGGTAGACTCAGTTTGTGGTAACCCATTATTAAAATGCCCATGGCTTATTAATGAACTTCGATTGCTGGTATTTGTGAATGCTAAGCTACAAATTTTGCTTTACAATCCACAGTGGCTTAGTGTATTATGTGCATGACAACATTATCTGAGTAATTATCAATCTTGTGTGATAAGTATCCTCACAACGCAAATAAAAAGCAGAGAAGGTTCTGATCTGGGCTACTAAGATTAGAATGGAGAACTTGAATTACAGAGCTAATTTGCTCTTCTCCAACCTCACCGATGAGATACGTAGACTTCATCTCCAAGAATTCTCAGCAATGGTCATGCTGGCTAGGGAATTCTGGGAGTTGATCTGCATGTCTGGTGGATGCCCATGGAAGGCTGAACTATTTGTACCAGATGATCACTGAAGTGATTCTGTGGAACTTCTCAAACATTACTCAAGAAAAAAAAAATCACCTTTCAAGGTTCCCTCTCAAGAAAAATGGCCAATCAGTACATTTCAAATGTATGGTTATTTATGATTAACCCTTGCCTCAAATACATCAATCTATAGTAGATCCAACCATATGCAGCATTTGCAGTAAAACTGGGGCTCTTATTCCTTTTTTATCACCAATGAGTCTTGCACACCAATCAATTACGTCTGCTTATTTTGGCTGTGTCACACTCCCTCCCACCCAAATGGGTTAGAGTTAGAAAATGATGGTGACAGTTATCTCTGAAAATTTATGTACTCATGCTGTAATCACATAAGGATATTGCACCAACTGATTATCTCCATGGCGGGCCCAAACCTTTTGGATATGAGATTTTACCACTAATAGTGGCAAGAAAGAACAAGAGCCAGAACTGGTAATATAATCAAACTGTGTAACATACTAACAGATAAATGCAGGATTAGTTCCTACTCCATATCTGAAACATCCAATTCAGTAAGAGCCTGAAATGCAAAATGTAGTTTTTCACATTACTAATAAAAATACGAAAGAACAAAAAACTTAAATTGTAGCCTGTGGGGCAGCAAAACCATGTAACAGCTTATTTTATTCAAAACAGTGAGTAAAGAGCAGTGATGGGGAGTCTGTGGTTTTTCAGATGTTGAACACAACTGCTAGCAGCTTACGCTGGCATGGCAAATGCTGAAGAATGCTAGAAGTTGCAGTTCAGCAGAATTTGGAAACCTATATGGTCCCATCCTTGAAAGTCACTGCTAGAAAGGAAGTAAGGTGTACATCTTACATCTTACAGGGTACATCAACCAATAGCGCATGGGTTTTTTTCCCCCTGCATAGAATGGTATTGGGGAATGCTGCAATGTTAAGAATGAAGACCCAAATGATTTCTCATTTAGGCATTTGCCATACACATCAACCCACCAAACATGAACCAGTTCATTAAAGATAGATATGCATCACTACTTTTAATTACGAACCATATGCATAAATGTAATATCTTATGTTTTCTAGTACAGTACCAGGGCAGGTACACATGGCTAGGATTTAAAATTGGGGCTCAGGAGCTAAATGCAGCCCACAACCTCTCCAGCCTGTCTCCAAAGGAATCCAGAAACATCAGTTTGAACACTTTTTATTTGCCCTACATGACTGCTGGGCTGTATTCAGTTGGGACAGTGCATATCAATTGCCCTGTTTTAGCTCAAGGCCATTCTCTGTTTTTGACTCTTCCATTTTGCAATCAACAGCTGGTCTGCTCGTGTTCATAACTAACAAGGGAAGCAGAGGTCAGAATACCTTATCGAATGAATTCTGAAACATTCATATTAAGTTTAGATTGTAAGTAAGTCATTTAAAAATATTTTAAGTAAAGTTTAATTTGACTAGATTTTTCAAAGTACAATTGAAAACTTTGTTTAAAGTGGCCCAATATATTGAATATAAATAAGATCTTGTCTAACATCCACACCCATGCTTATTTATTGAAAAGTAAATTCCACATTGCATAATACAACTTGCTTTCTAAATCAGTATGTACAAAGCTGAAGCTTTCTTCTTTCAGTAAGAAATCTTGCTTAGCATCTCTCTGTGTGTGCATGTATACACACATAAAGAAATTTGATTCTTGCTCAATTTTGCAATTGCAAAAGGTGGGCTGACTCCATGACAAAAAGTCTTTATAAGTTTTTAAGTTGTACAAAGGCCTCTTTTACTTGCAAACTAAAATACTGTATTTATTCTAGCACCTAATTTGTATGCATGCTTACAAAGGAACTATATGAATTTCAATCAGGAAACCTGATCAGATAATTTCTTTATCAGTTAAATTAGCCTTGCATTAAATAATTCTGAAATTATGCTGCATTTAAGAAACCCTTCTACCCCAGTACCCAGGCTAGAAAGGTTTCTTAAATGCAGCAGAATGCCCTCAATTCCATGCGGTAAGGAAACGGCTCATCAGATGTTACAGTTCATCAACTCCCAGTACAGGCAGTATCAGAACAAATCCAAATCATTATTCCCACGACATTTCTAAAGATATGTACACCAAAAGAACATTTGTTGTATCCACTGGTATAGAACAAATACTACCAATGGATTTAATCAATTTCCTGTAGTCCCTCCAATGCTTCCACATTGCTGCAGAGAGCTGGGGGACATTCCGAGCAGAACTGGGGGCACACAGAAGGAAAAAGAAAGAAGTCAAACTCCCACAGCAAAAGTGGAAGTCAGTTGCGAGGCAGTGAATTAAACCCAATGAAAGCAAAGGACAAACTATTTCCATCTCTCCATTTATTGGTTCCTGCCAGTTTCCAATAATCTTCCCTGCTTCAACCCTGTAGGTGACACAGCAAAGGCACAGAATGCCGGACAATGCCTGGGACCTGCTGAGGGAGGGAGGGACAGTCCAAATTGCACCTGGCAGAAGGTGGTCCCAAGCAAACATGCATCAGATGGAAAACAAATACCCACAGGCTCACTGAAGCATGGAAGTCACCTGGGGCCAGGCAGCTCGGTACCATGCAATCTAAAGCGGCTGGCTATCTTCTGGAAGTGTAAAGTTGGTTACTCATTTCTTCAAGGCTGATCTTTGGCTGGTTTTCTCAGAGGGTGCTGAGTGTCAGAGTTCTGGCAAGGGGCTGGCAGTAACAGTCTTATTCAAGACACTCAAAACGAGAAGATTCGGCTGCCAATTTCCAGCAAGGAAAGGATTACATGGATCAGACCCCAGAAGTGGTTCCTTTCCTTGCTATGCTAATCTCAGGAATCCCAACTCTACATGGCATTCTTTGAATGTTGTAGCTACTCCTGCAGCACTAGCAGCTAAGACATTTATTTGATATGGAAACTTCAAAAGAGTAGCTATCCGGAGACATCTCCTCCTGATCTTGCTAGAAGTAGCCCAGCAGGAAGAGGTAGGGAAAGTCCCTCCTCTGAAAGTATTTAGCATCACCTACTGTCCAAATGTGGGACTGCCACAGGCCAAAGCAGACAGGAGGAAGGCAGTAAGTCCTTCATCCTCAGCCTTGAAACATCCCAGCGCAGCCATCACTGGAAGCTGATTACCAAAGGATTGGGGATTGGGGAGCATTATCCCCTAATTACTGCTGCCCTATCCAGTGGGAGAAATGCTGTCTTTCCCAGAAGGTATAGACACAATCTTAGTGCAAGTGACAGGCATTGCGTGCCAAAGAGACTCTGCAAGGTCTGGGTAGGGATTCAGTCTTTGGTTCATTGCTAGTACTTCTGAGAATGCCCCAGAGGTAAAACAGCAGGAATAAAGGAAGCACCGGAATGGCCACAGATGATTTCCAGATCAAATGATTCTTGCGATGCTCAGGATAGGCAGCAATTAGATGGCTTTGTGCTTCGAGCCTAGGACACAAATATACAGATAGATAAGAACAGCAGAAATGGATATACATTCTTCCCTCCCCTCCCCTCCCCTCTCCTTCCCACAAAGTTGAAGTTCACCATTTACGATAACATTGAAGAAAAAAATTCCTCTATCCCATGCACACCCCTTACATCTTCATAGGCTATCACAAGCCAATCCACAAAGGCTGCGACCATCCCACTCATACTGGCTGCCAAGCATTTCATATTGTGAGCATGCACTGCAGTAACTGCTGAAGTCTTGTTGGAACAGGCACATTAAAAACCCACTCTCATAAGTTTGTATCTGTAAAGACTCTACCACAATGGAAAAGCATAGGATCAGTGGAGACATTGTCCTTACAGCTTTTGTAGTTTATTTGAGGCATCATACTGATCATGAATTTTTTAAAGCTGCTTTCACTTTCCTTATGTGTCTAAAGAGGGCCATATTTCCAAATATTAATTCAATCACTTTTTTTTGCAGCTGTTTGGAACTATATCCTTAAGTTTTAAAAAGCTAGCCCAATTTAATCAATTTTTAATAGGTCAAAGGTAAACATAACAAAGTTCTGGTACTTGGGACTGCAGTACCTGTTTCTTGAGTTCACCTGAAGTTTTGGGGGAAAAAAAACTTGTTTATTGCAAAGACTGGCACAGGACAATTAGTTCTACTGCATCTAACTGGAAAAGCATTTAACAAGAACTAGCAGAATCTCCACCCTCCAAGGTTCTGTTCAGAAAGAGCTACAGGGTGGCCGAAAGACCAGTTGTTCCAGTTTGAGTTCCAATAACTAGATTAGCACTTTCCTTGCTGGGATATAACACAATACGATATTCACAAGATGAATTACGTCCAGCTATGAAGACAATGAACTGGCAAAAATTCCTCATCTCCTTTACTTGTTGCCGTAGCTGCTGCTGTTGATATTCCTCTTCACTAGCCGAAAGTGCTCGAGCCAGTGCCAGATCCTCCTCCTCCTGGGTGCTGTTAGAAACAGGGTCAAAATGAATTGGACACCCTGCATAATTTATCCCTTCCCTCTTCTTGATATACTCATCCCACTATTAGTAGATTGGTACGTGCAAGGTGATTTCATAAAACCTCTGTCTCCACTTATTGTTCAGAGGGCCTGATTAGTGCAGAATGTTTTGAATGCTCACCCCAACCCCATGGGCTAGAAACAGAGAACAGGACTTGATGTCAACAGATCTGCACTGGATTAGAGGCAATCTGCTGGCTACACAGTTTGGGCACAGTTGTCCTAGAAGTCTGTCCCTCTGTCTCACCCCAGTGTAACTTCTCAGCAAGTAGTCTGGCATGGTGGTATAACCCTGCTGATTTCTGGTAGCTATCACTACTGCTTTCTACCTGTGGTGTTGTGGTTGGATGGGCACCGTTTCTGCCAGAGACATCTCCAACGCTCGCTGTAACGCTTCTTCTTCACTCTGAAATGAAGCACAAAAGCAGAGTCAGCCTACCTGAGGGAAACCAAAAACCTCAGCACCTTTACATGGCTGGGCCCATTTCAAGGATTTGGGACTGGAATTGTGCCATTAACCTATTTTTGTCTTAATGTACAAGGGATTTTGTAGATACGATGAGAATAAAACAGATCACAATATCAGAAAGCATCTTCAAACTACCAGATCAAGGAGTTCCTACAGAATCCATACAAGCAACTGCTGCCAGACTCCAAGAGACATGACAAAAAATCATGCTGGACCTCTCTGCTCTCTCCTGAGTCTCAAATCTATAGCTCTTATTTCCCCATCCCTTGAAATAATAGTTTTAATAGCTTTAAAGAGCCAGTTTGGTGTAGTGCTTAAGGGAAGGTGTTGGAAAAAGAGCCTCCTACACGAAGCAGATTATTTACTTACCTGATTTTCTATCCTGCATTTCATTCAGGAGGTCTCCATCCCATAGCATTCCCTCCTCCCATTTGCACCAACAACAATTCTGTGAGGTAGGTTAGGTTGAGGGACAGTAACTGGCCCAAAGCCACAGCTGAAATTTCATTTTACAGTAGTTCTGTTCCTACTTTAACAAGTGGTTTCAATCAGTAAAAATGGGGGAGAAGCAGTAGAGCCTGTAGTTACTTCAATGCAGAGTGCTGCAATGTTTGACTCTCCCCCCACTGGTTTTTAACTTCTATATAAAATCAGTAGGAGGGGTCCTCATACCTTACACCTGGGGCGGTGATAATTATTTGTCACCACCCAGTCCAAATCAGCGATGCTGCAGAGTCCCTAACTTGGTATCCAGAAGCTATAAAGATCTGGATGGGCCAAAAGTAGCCTAGGTCGAATCCAGGCAAGATAGAATTAGACTAAGGCCCAGCCAAGTCAACCTTTAACCATGGGAGATCATTTTCTACTTAGTAACGTACTCTTAGCCCAACCTACCCCACAGGGTTCTGACTGTGGGAAAAATAAAAGGAGGGAATGTTAGGTATGCTCTAAACACTTCTGTGGGAAAGGCAGGATATAATTTATTTAAAAAAATTAAAAATGGAAGTGTTCAATCATTTTTAGTAAAAACGGGATAGCCTTGGACATGACTTATAGTGGTCAACAGGCAGGATTTCCAAGCTCAATCTATTAGCAAAATTCTGCAATAATTTCATTCCAAGATGCTCCATTTATCTCCATTATTTTCTGTTAACCAAACAATGAACACCAACATCAATATAATGTAGTGTGTTTTGCTTATATTTATGCATGTATGTGTTTTATTTTTAGAGGGTTGGATGCAAATCCTATTTGATCCCTGGCTCAACAACTACTTTTGACAAATTGTCTCAGTACATCAACTTAACTTATGGAAGATAGTTAAACAAAGACTTTTATTCATTCGTAAACCTGGACAAAGATTTTTCCAGGACATTATTATCTTTATTTACTAGCTTCTAATTTATTATATATTCACTAAAGAATACATTAAAAAACTTTAAAAGTAAGAACAAGTTTGCCTCTCTTTCTTATCTTTGATTTTCCTTTAGCTTCTGTTTTAGGCAACTTGCTAGATCCCATGTTTTTTGTCCCTTATTTTTCCTCTCATATGTTAAGATTTTAATGTAAATATGCATAATTCTTTAGTTGCTTCTTCATGTTCCTTTTTTCCTACGGACCCTTTTAAACTTAACTTGGTTGTTTTATGCTTCTAAATTTGGCAAATTCAGCTTTGCAATTGAAGCCAAGTGTAATAGAAGTTTGCCCTTCCCTCCTCTTTCCCTGTTTATTTAAAGATCATAAGCAGTTTGTTTTATCATTCATTTGTACTCTAAAGCTCAGGAGACTCTCATACTGGATTTCAGATCAATAGAAATAAGACAACCCCTGCTTACAAATTAAAAAGGCATGACACAAAAGGGGAAAATGGGGTGGGCAGAGGAAAAACAAACAAACAAAAAAATAGGCATTGATTCTTAATGTTATAAGATTCTAATAAATAACTAGCTATAAAGCATCCAGACATTAATGGCCTGTACTACTGCCAAATTATAATATGGTTGGACCTGACATCTGAATCTGGACCATGGATTAAATTGTAATTAACAGAGAGAACATTGTCACAATTTGTACTATTTTTTTTCTAAATTATTTACCTGCACCCTAGCTCTACCTGACGTTACAGCCCAAACTATGCATTAACTTCTTTCCAGTCTCCTAACAGAGGCATAAGGCTGGAGCAATCGTACAATGAGCTATAAGTATGTGGGGTGAAATGGGGATACAGAGGGGAGAAAGGAAAGCACAGCTCCCCCACCCCACCCCAGGAAGTGATTTCAAAGCTAATTAAGGCACTACTGGATTTTTTAAGGGAAAAAACCCCCCATGTAATGTCAACCAGCTAACCACTACCAGAGCTGGGATACTGGCCAATTAATGGGATAACTGATGGAAGATCTGGAGAGACGCAAAGACTACATAAGTTGGTTTCTCAGGTAAACTGATAGCGGCCTATTTTTCTTCTGTGTTTTCACTGCAACTATAATACTGCATTATTTAAGATGTGGTAACAATTAGCCTCTTTTGCAGCCGTTCAACAGATGAGGGGAATACATCAACAGATAACATAAATAACCTATATATTACATATATTGGCTAGACTTACCAAACCGTTCTGCAGAGCAACAACAGGTACAGCTGTGTTTTGTGGCTGAGGTGTTCTTACCGTCTCACTTGCTCTGTATGCAAGAAAAAAAAGTCAGCTGCCAAATGCATGAGGTTGGCAGGCCCTAAAATTACCAACATAAATGTTTCCAGGAAGTTCTTGTGACTCCAGAGGAGAAATGTGAGCTGCTGAACTGGGATCTAGTTTTATAACATCTTTATTTATAACATCTTTTATAACATCTTTATTTATAACATCTTTATTAGGTTGAGGATACAATTAAATGAACAACAATGCCATACTGAGGGCTGGAGAACACTTCCAGTGCTACTTGTTTCTTTTTCTTCAGAGACTCACACATCCAGGAAAAAAAAAATCAGTTTTTTTCCCCTTCTCTTTGTGATCTACAGGCTTCACTTATTCACACAGTCATGCACCCACACATACCTTCCCCAACTCAAGGTCTGTCTGGCCAGACCAGAAGAATCAAGTTGGGATGCTCACACAGAATGCTCACTCAGTGTGATGAGTCCCAAGGACTACAGTTCCCATTTAATACATTCCAACAAAGCTTGGCCAATCCCTCATTTTTCCTCACACTTCCCAGTACTTCTTCACCAGAATGCTATTGCCTAATCCAGCTGACACTGAGAACCATAACTTGTTATGTCTTTTTTCAAACTCTTCATTCTGATATTTTTCTAAACATTACATAAGATGAAATCTTCCTAAGCAAGCCTGTCTTTCTGGCCTACTTTGAGTAGGTCTCACATATTCCATCTTTTATACATGTGCAAATAGACCAATGCATGATACAAAGCTACGGATGATCACTACACCACAGCACACACTGATAGGCATTATATGCTATTGACAATATACTAACATCAACATGTTATATATACATGGTTATACTTGGTTAGCATATTTTAATAGTAATACAGGAGTAAATGGAATAGTGTCATCCATATGTTCTAAAGCATCTGGAAGATAGCATGTTGTCTACTCCTCCCATAGACAGAGAAGTGTCAGGTATCATAAAACATAACAGTACTCATGGAAAACTGTTACTACAAACTGAAAAAGACAGGAAACCACACGGATTCAGGATGACTATACCTGCTGGAGGTTGGTCGGCTGACAAGAGATCTCATGGCTGCATTGCTAGATGTAGTGCCTACAGGTTCTTTGGCAGACTTTTGAGCCCTCGCTATGGCAGCATTCCTGGAACCAGAAACAAAGCTCTTGTTATCAGCATCAGGCCATCCTTGCCTCACATCACCTCTCTCCCTTTCCTTGAAATGAACCAAATCCACTTTAGGACTCTTTTCAGCAGCCGTGTTAAGTCCCACTCTTTGTGATTAACTTGACTTTCAAGTTAAACTCAAACTATAGGGACAACCAGCCCAGCAAAAAATGTGACTGAGATTTTAGGGGGATGCGAGGAGGACAAGGAAGACAAGACAATCTTGCAATCTCAGATTACTTTTAGAGAGATACCAGAAAATGGAGGAAAGTAACATAGACAGGTTGGCACCAGTATTATACAATTTTAACTAGCACAATTCTCAGCCCTGCTTTTACCCAGCTTTGGAGAGTGAACGCCCAGTCCCACTGCAGTCATGGTCCAGGGGGTGCCGGTGTTTGAGGCAGAAGTTGCCATGACATTGGTCACAGAGGACCTTCATCATTTCCCGTTGTTTGCAGCCAGGACGCTGACACTTGTTGGTGAAAATCTAGGAAAATGGATACAATTGAGCTTGATCAGAGTTGAACGACCTGTTTGCAAGTAGGGAACCAACAAAATCTGCCTCCTTTATTATCTATGAAGCCTCCAACCTCTAAACAGTGAAGAAATAATCCCTGAATTAAAATTTCTCCAAACTGCAGAGTTTGAATGGGATCTTAAGCAGGCATAACTTGCCTTCTTACTCAGTTTAAACACGTAGCTTTTCTGCTCCTGCAGGCTTTCAAATGTCTTCCAGTGAAACTTAAGTCCCCATAAATAGCCTAACATGCCTGCTCATAATTTTTTTTTTTGTAATTTTATTCAAAGTTTTTAGAAAAGAAGATAAAAACTAATACAAACTAATATAAAGTAATAAAAAAGAAAAAATCAAAGAGAAAGCTAAAAATGCAAGAAAGGAAAAAAAGAAAAAGAAAAAAGATACAAAGAAGTGGCTTATGATCTTCTTTATAGCAGTTATAAGTACAATTATAAATTTACCTCTTTCTCTAAAGTTACAACATGCCTTTCTTCTTTCTATAATCTATCCTGTCTAATCATCATAACAATAAACCATAAGTTCATTTTTTAATGTTTTCTGCAAAAAGTCCATAAGGTGTTTCCAGTCAACAATAAACGTAAATACTGTCTTTTCCCTAATCAAAGAAGTAAATTTGGCCATTTCAGCAAGTTCCATCATCTTCACCGACCATTCCTCCATTGTGGGTAATGCCAAAACTTTTCATCTTTGTGCATACAACAACCTTGCTGCAGTTATATAAAAAAACAAAGTTCCATGACTTTTTTCCAACTGTTTGTCCATCAGTCCCAGAAAAAAGACCTTGGGACTCAATAGTATATTAATCTTTAAAATCCTCTGAATCAGTGTATTTATTTGAATCCAAAATTTTGTAGCTTTTTGGCATATCCACCAAACATGATAAAATATCCCTTCTTGTTGTTCACATTTCCAACATGTATTTGAAGTGCCTTTATAGATTCTCTTTAAGATTATAACATAGTGTAAATTTTAATCCTTTCAACCATATATTTTTCCATTGTTGCATCTGTATATTATAACCAAAAATTTTAGCCCACTTTAACATACATTCTTTCACTTGTTCTTCTTCTGTTTCAAATTTCAACAGAAGTTTATACATTTTAGCAATTACATGTTCATCAATTGTACATAATTCTATTTCAAACTCAGTCTTACAATGTTCAAAACCACAAACTCTTTTGTCTACTTTAAATCTTTCTAATAGCTGTAATTAAGAAAACCATTGGCAACTATATCCCTCTGCCAGCAGTTCTCCTGTTGATCTTAGTATTCCTGTTGACAAAATTCTAGTATCTCACTATAAGTTAGCCATTTGTATTTGCCTATTATTTCTCATCTATAAAACGCTTCTTGTGCTGAGAGCCACAAAGATGCTTTCGGGCACAACCTGGGTGTATCTATTCCATATTCTCAATATGGCACATCTAACATAATGATTTTTAAAATCTACGCTAATCTTGATTTTATCGTACCATAAATATCCATGCCACTCAAATCTCAGTTTGTGTCCTTCTAACTCCAAAAGCCTTCTATTTCTCAGCAGCACCCACTCTTTCATCCAAACTAAACAGCAAGCTGCAAAATACAATTTCAAATCAGGTAAACCCAATCCTCCTCTTTCTTTTGCATCCTATAACATTCTCTTTCCAGCTCTCTGTCCATAACTTCTGTCTTACTCTCCAGGATTTCCACTTTGTCATTAATTTGTTTTACATCCCCAGAGACTTGTTTTACAGAGCTTTCCATCTTCTCGACTTATTTCATCTCCTCTTTCATCTTTACAAGTCTTTGATCCATTCTTTTTTCAAAATCTGTCAATTTAGTATCCACTGATTTAGTCAATTTAGTATCAAATGATTCAGCTAACTTATTGCTCAATTCCTCAAACATTTTCTGAAGTAAATCTGGTGTAATTCCTCTCTGTGCAGGTTGCTCTAGTGATCCTCTCCTCCCCTCTGCTATTTTTGCCGCTTTTCTGGTGGTTGCCATTGTAATATTGTAATCCAGAAATGAAAGTGTCTCAATTGCAAGGGAAAGAGTAAAAGGCAGCCCCCCCTTTTTTTTCTGTTTTGTCTTTCTGTGCCCTTAATACTTTTGTCTCAAACGGCACTCTGTACTTACAGTCAGCATCACAGTCTGGCTCATATTACCTTTATCTTTTGTTTTGTAAAATCCACCAATTGTTAAAACCCTTTTTTTCCTTTTTAGTCCAGAAGGAATGTTGACTCACCAAGTGGAATTCTCTTATTCTGCAGCTCAGAAAAATCTCTCTTTAGCTGTAAATTAATTACATCTGAAAGTGTTTAAGAAAGTGAGGCTTTTGCGAACTTTGTGTCCATATAGGTGGCATTATGGCTGTGAGCTTGGTTGAAATCCCTCAACTCCCAGCCGCTCAACTCACAAGTCGACTGCAAAAGCCTCTCCTGCAGTCTCCTCATAAGGAGGAGCTGTCTGGAGTGCAAGTGGGAGATCTCACGATCTCTCTTTTATCCAGCCAGAATTCACTGTCTGGACGCCAGTCTCTATCACAGTGCCATCCCCACTCCTTCAGGGATGTCTAATCCACCACAGATCCTCATCTAGAAGCCACCTGCTCATAATTATCTTAACTGTGCTGCCTGGAACATGGGAAACTTTACAGAGAGCTTGGCTGATCTTAGCACTATCTACATTAATGGGAGTGGCTCTCCCATGTTCATGTGGGAGTTTTATACGGGCAAAGTATGTGCTGTATCACCCAATTATGGCTCTCATCCAGCTTGGGAAAAACATATTAAAACCTCCAGGAATTTGGTTACCAAACTCTGCTGATTCAACACTAGGATGCTCTACTGGCCTATGATTCAGTTTTTGATGTATATCAGATTCTGGCAACTCCCTGCCAGATGCAGCAGAAAGTGCTTTAGCCTCCTACCTTTCTCTTACGCTGAGCTGGGTCTGATTTGCAGTCCTGATCAATGTGGGCTCCCACCACAATATCAGGCATTTCTCCTCGCTTCACAGGGATAGGTGTGCTGCACAATGGACACACAGGAACTTGCACATCCTAGGGAGAGGATAGGGATCGGGTGATATGTAGGCACTTCCTTCGATTCATGCATCATACAGCAGAGATAGACAATGGTGGCTTGTAGATATTTCAGAGTACTACTCCCATGACCCTCAAGATAACATAGCTCCTCTTTGTCTGATTATGAGAGCTGTAATAATAAAAAGTTATCAGGTCACCTATTCAGAAACAGAGCAGGTGTATTTATTTTATTTCATATACTGCTCCAATTATGGTAGATTCTGAGTGATGCCCAGCAAAAAATCAGCATAATAATATAACAAGTCATCATCAACATCATCTGGATCAAAATGTTGCAGCATATAACCATCATCTAACAAAGGTACACCTGTTCAGAGTTCCAGCCAACCACTCCTTTCAAACAGGATAATCTTTGTTTTCTCCTCCTTTCAGTTCACCTTTTCCATGATATTTAGCATACAGTAGCTACTGGACATGCTCAGTTTTCAAAAGACCTGTCTGCCCTTCAGTTTTTAACATTCATTTATTTGGTACTTCTACAAACTTAGGATTCCTTAAATAACTCTTGAGTTTCTACAGTAGCTCTGGTTTGCCTCCAATGCTGTTAGGACTCACTCTCTAGTTTGTTATCATAAAGAGTGAAATTGCATTAACATTTGCCTATAAAAATTTAACCCAGTGGACCAACAATGCATTCCAGAGTTACAGGTGGTCCCCATTTTAAGAACGAGTTCTGTTCTCAAGATCCGTCCTTAAGTTGAATCTGTGTGTAAGCCGGAACAGTATTATTCTATAATACTGTATAAGTAGTATTGTGTAATTAACTCAAATCATTGTGTATTTAATTCAAATTTTGCTACAATAGGCTCTGTTCTTAACTATGGGTTGTCTGTAATTTGTGCTTTCTTAACCCAGGGGCTACCTGTATAAGACAACTGCTAACAAACCCTTTTTGTAGGGCCATGTTTACAAAACAAACTTCTAGAGAGATAACAGAAGTAAGGATTAAAAGGCCTATGGCATTTTTCATATTACCAAACTGGATGAAGAAGTGACACACAGATGAAAAGGTCTTGCGGCAGTGGCCAGCTATTTTCTTATCTTAGGTAACCTTCTGTGGAGACCCAATTTCACAAAATGGGTGGTTTAGAATCATGGAGCTGCAAGAACCATTTCAGCTACTGAGACCAGTATCATTGTTCAGTGCAGGAATTGAAATTAAAGCATCCCTTGCAAATGACTATCTAGCCTCTGTTTTTTCCAGTAGAAGGAACTCACCACCTCTTTGGGTAACTATCCAGCTGCTCTTATAGGTGTCCCCCCCCCGCCCCCCGCCACTCCCTGCATTCAGTCAGAATCAGCTTTCAGGTTACTTGTTATTCTATATCTTACAATCGGACCACAAAAGACAGGACAACTTTCTTCTGTGTGAGATGCTTTCAGGTATTTGAAAAATGCTTATACGTCTCCTCCACCTTCCCTTCTCAAGGCAAAATACTGTCACTCCCTTCATAAGACTTCCTTTCAAGGCCCTGAGCATCCTCGTTGCCCTTCTCTGCATTATTCTTAAAAGGTGGTGCCTAGAACTGAATAACATACTTGTAGGCTACGTCTGATTAATGCAGAACATTGCAGTGTTGTTTTACTTCCTTGTTTCAGAAACTATATTACTGTTGACCCAGCCTAAAATTGTGTTTGCCTTTTTAACATTCACACTAGAGTGTTGGCTTTATTCACTTTGTAGTCACCTATTATTCCAAGATCTGTTTCGTAAGGATTATTGTTAACCAAAGTACCCCTGTCCTACACCTGTGCATTTGACTTCTGTAAGCGTCTTGTCTCATCTCTTAATTCAAGTCATTAATAAAAACATTCAGAGTACAGGATTCAGGATTCAACCTTGTGATAGCCAATTCAATAATCTCACATCAGTTCGATGTTCATGAGCGTACTTTTCAACTCAGTATGTATTCTCTTCACTGTCATGTCATCCAACCCACACTTAACTAGCTGGATAACCACAATGTCATGGGGTACTTGCCAAATGCTTTGCTAAAATCAAGATATATTACCTATTCAGTATTCTCACACTGTACTACTCGAATGAATTTACCAGTCAAAAAATCAGTTAAATGAGCTAAATTTGTTCTTGACAAATAAAGGTGATTTCTGGTAATCATCACAAGCCATGTTTCAAATAGCACAGCCTTCCTTCTTACTGCTTCATCTGAGGCTGCAGAAAGAGTAGCTCCCTTTGAGCAGATGGTCTCTGCCCTTTTGTGCCTTGTACAGGATAGAGTCAATATATTCTACGAAAGTTAAGAATATACTGCATCTGATGCACATTTTGTTCCTTCCAGTTTTATTTACCTTCTTGTAAGCTGAAGTGCAGTTATGATGAGCATAGGCAATATGGTCAGTGCAGAATAGCTGTTCACAAGCATCACATTTCAAGGGGAGGAAGTCTGAGGGCAGAAAACAATGAGCAATGAAAAGCTGTAAAAGTTTTCCCTGCAACTTTTCAAATGACTATCTAGGCATTTTACTGGATGCCATGGTAATTGTCCGACTTTATTTTAAAGGGTACTTGCCTTTTCAGCAGAGGAAAATATTTGAACACAATGAAGGTATCATGGTAACTAATTTTGCAAACAGATTAGAGATGGAAAGTCTTGGGGAAAAATATCAGAAAAACTGAAAAAAACACCCTCAATATTTTTCTTCTTAACCTTCACATCTGAAAAATAGTCTCATCACAGATGTGCAGTAGAGCAGCAGGTCCAGACTGACCATCTTTCTGCTATCTGCAACTGTTGAGCCTTAATATAAAGCAAAAAACTAATGCTCATTCACATTTGCTCATACCCCTATGTCTTAACACAGAACTGGATTAAACAAAATAGAATGGCAAAAAAAGTACTTTAACCTTTGTCTGTTAAGAAACATAGCAAGAGACAGATTATGTAAGAATCCCTAAGTCTACAGTGCAGAATTGTGATAGTCAAGTGTAATGTGATCAGGCACAAATATCTCTCGAATTCTACAAAGGAACTTCTCCTTCAGATATTTGGGAGGGCAAGAGTCTCCCCCATTTACATTTAACCTTCAAACTCACAACCACGGGACTTATTTACTAGTATATTACACAAGATTTCACTCTGGGGAGTTTACATTTCATATCAAGCAGCACCCTAAGGATCCAGACCTCTCGACACAACCGTTCACCAGCAGTTTACTGAACATTCTATGTTAGGGTTAGACATAAGATAAAATCCCTCCAATCTGAAGTATGCAACAATTTCCAAACTCTAAAGGTCCCATGTTACATTCTTAATGTGGAGCGCTCTTCTAAGATGGCCAGCTTTATTTCATCATTGGGAATGAAATGAATATAACAGCTTGGTTCACAAGAGAGAATATATAACTAATTAAAACAGAAAACAAAGACTGCTTGCCTGATTTCTTCTGGGAATAAAGCCTTTATCTTCACATTAAACACCAAAGCATCTGGGGACTCAAAGCTTTTAGCTAGGAAATGCCAAGGGTGCATCTCCATAGAGAAGCCCCTGCTTATCTCTTTGTTTATGAAATAATTCCAAGTGTCATCACTGAGACATCATTAATGTGGCAGCTGCTGTAGTATGCTGTACTCCCATGCAGAGCGATTAGAAGGCATATCACCAAAGCTACAAAATACTTAGAGGAAGTGTATGACACGTTTTTTAAACTGCAAAGCATTACCAAAATAATGAGTTCAGCCAGCCACCCCCCTCAAAAAAAAAACAAACCCAACCCACTCTTCTGAAGCTCTCTCAGGAAGTACATTGCAAAGTCACTTGTCATACAGTTGTAAAAAAAAAAAAAAAGCAGTCTGTACGAATTCCCGTAGTTGCTAGAGCTCTAGAAAACCCAGCTTTCCACGCTGCGGAGCACAAGCTCAATCACAAACCACGATACCCCCGCTACTGGGGAAGGAGTGGAAGAACCTTACTGCCAGCTTCCCGGTCTACCAGGCCCAGCTGGAAAAAGTCCCGATTCTCACCGGACTCCGGTGCCTCTCTTCCTGCCCTTCCCAAACCTCAGCCGAGAGGACGAGCAGGGGGAGCCCGCCTTGCCCCCACAGCTGAAGGCAAATCCTCACCCAGGCGCTTGCAGGAGGGCTCCGTGCAGTGCGCTCCCAGATCTGGGAACTCCATGAAGCTGCCAACGGGGCTGATTCCGGGGGCGGCCGAGGAGGAAGAACGGTACCTGGCGGGAAGAAGAGACTTACAACCCAGGGGCTCCGAGAGCGGGAGAAATCCGCAGGAAGGACGGATGATTATGACCCAGTGGGGGTCGGGTGAGATGCAAAGGCTGCAGCAGCCGGGAAACGGCGAGAGGGGAGAGGGCTGCAACACCCCGAGGAGGCAGGGTAAGAAGGAAGAACGGCGCTCACTTAAAATAATCTACACAAGCGGCAAAAGAAAAAAAAATCAGGGGAAAGAGAAAACAACAGCCCCCAATACTGTAGCAGACCATCCTCACCCTCCTCTCTGCAAAACAAGGAAACCTTCGTGCCTCTTGCCCCACCCACTTCCGTTTCTGGATGCGATGACGTCATGCCGTCAGGGCCCTTCGGCGTCGAGAAACTTAGTGCCTGCCCAGTGAAATTTGGGATACTTTATTCCGGCGGCATGCTGGGAAATGTAGTACGGATGTGAGAGGCGCGCGCTCGACCACCGAAGTCTTCGCTTTTCCTCTAGGGCGCGCTGTACCCAGGTAAATGGAGAAACGGAATGGCGCGGTGTATGATGGTAGTTGTAAGTCATTAGCGGCACAGTTCCCGTCTCTCTCTTGCGCGAGGAATTAACCGAGAATTCCGCCCGAGGCTGAGATTGCCTTTAGGCAGATAGGCGGAACGCTAGGAACAGCCGCCGGCGGCATTCTAATCCCGCCTTAGCCGGAAGTGTCTCTATGGTAACGGCGGGCGGATCGGGTTGGGCCGGAGGGGGCCAAGCCACCGCCCGCCCCGGAGCCGGTAAGTAAGCGGACCCTGTAATCGCAGTTCTGGGTAATGGTCCCTCTCTCTTTCTTCCGCGGGATGTTGAATTTCCAGAGGGGCCTTGGCCTGGAGCAGAGTGAAGCGCCCGGCTTTTAATTTCTAGTGGAACTGAGATAATCTGATTTAACTAGTCTGAACTCCCTTGGATGCTCCCTTTTCGGCAGATGCCGGGCTTATTTTCCTGTAGATCAGGTCTTCGGTTCCTTCCCAATCATTCCTTCCCTCGAGGTGTCTTGAGGGAAGTTACATTTCTGCATCTTAGGGTTACGGCATGGTAGGTTGAGAAGGATTCGTTTGAAGAACTATCTGTCCAAGATCAAATTGAACGGGCCTCCGTTACGTTCAGGATGGGGAAATCAGGTAGAGCTTGGGACCTTCGGTTATTTGTCTCCGAAAGTGTGTCAAGAGTCCGCAAAAACTCATTTTTCCCCCTTTGGGTAACCCTGTCTTGCCTCCGTTTGCATTAAGTCTGTGGTACGTGGCTACTGTTTACAAAAGATGAGTCCTTTTGTTGGAAGGCAAAGACTACACGTGGGTAGGCAGGCTACTTCACACAATAGGTGTGACAAAGATATGTGTGGAAGCAAGCATTGTATCCATGGGGTACTTGGTTTTAATTACCACTTTATTGGAGTGTACTCTCAATTTTATGAGCATCTTCCTGTCAGTGGGGAGGAATCTTGTAATTATTTCAAGTCTTGGCCACTTGTCATAGCTGGCATCACTACTGATGTTCTCTTTTACAAATGGTGAAATAAAGCTGAAAAAATGACTTGCCTAAATACTTGTATAAGTCCAGGGCTGAATTTGAACTTCTTGTCCATATTTTGTTCTTTATAATGTATTTGTCATTGATGCAGACATTGTTTTCATTTGTTAGTAGCTGCAATGTTTTATTTGGAGACATAGCTTACTATATTAGGCAACTGCAGAAAAGACCTAGGTGTCTTAATGGACAGCTAGGTATGAAGAAAGCTAATGCAATTTTAAGTTATGTTAACAGAAACATAGAATCAAGGTCACATGGAGTAATAATGCCCTCTACTTTGTAGTAATCAGGCTGTGTATGGCATAATTAGTCCAGTTATGGACACCATATTTAAAGAACATTGTCAAAATAGAGCTTATTCATAGAAGAAAGACCAGGATGGTTAGGATCTGAAAACTAAGCCTCATGAAGAACAGCTGAAGGAGCAGAATCAGCTTAGCCTGGAATAAAGAGTACTAACATCCTCATATTACCTCCCATATTCTGAAAGATGCTTCACAGTCTGGAGCAGGTGAACGGTGAGTGCAGAATTAAAGAGGATTTGGCAAAACCCACTTTCCCCTTTTCCATTAATGGAAGTCTCCACTTAATAAAAAGTCTTTCCACAAACAAAGTGGATTCAATATGTAGCACTGATTTTCAGCAGGAAAATAGGAACACTTGTTTGATTAGGTCTCAAGTCCAAATTTTATTTCTTATACTGGTCAGTCAGATTATCTGGGTCTCAAGGCAGGGTATTAAGGCAACACTGCTCTTCTGATTTAGTTCTGTGCAGTTGATCTTTGGTGGCATATCCTGACCTTAGAAACTTCTATCTGGGGAAAATGCAATGTGCTTTGTGAGTTGGTGTACAGTAGTAAGATAACTTTTTCCTGCCAAGCAATGCATTAAGGTAATAGCTAAAAGCAATAGACATCAGATGGCCTCTTTGAGGAAAGTATTCCATAGCTGGGAGTGTCTGCTGAAAAGATATGCTCCCAAGTATTCACTTGTCACATCTCCATATTACACAGCAGTTACAATAAGTGTTGTTACTGCTTAAAGCCACCAGTGTGGCTCATGTTATGAAAACGGTAGCACACAGAAGTTTTACAGCAATCAAAGAAAGAGATGAATCTTGGTGTTAACAGATGCCCTTCATTTTGCTTGATCCTAGAGGGAAGCTCACTTATCTGTTAATTCACAGTGTTAATTCTTTTTAGGTCACTCTTTAGAGTTACAGATGTCAAGGCAAGTTAGAACACGCTAAATGTTTACAACTCTCTATTTATTTTACAGTAGTACCAGGAAGCAATTTGTTTTTCACATATGTGATTTGTACATTAATGGAAACCACAGCAAGAAATCGAAATGTCTGATTTTTGATAGACTTTAGGAAGGTCAGTAACTGCTACTTTAACCAGTATTTCCATATTAACAGTTTCCTCATCTTATTAGTATCTTTATCTACTCTCTAGGAATATTCATACTATGTTTTCTCTGTCTTCTGTAGTAGAATCTCAGCCTTATCAAGCAACTGAAGATTAATTCTTAATGCATGATTTGGGTTTGGTATTATTGTCTATAGTGAGAGTTTAGAGCCAGTTTGTGTCATGGTTAAAGCACTAGGCTAGAACCTGGGAGATTGTAAGTTCTAGTCCTGCCTTAGTCACGAAGTCAGTTGGCTGATCTTGGGCCAGTCACTCTCTCTCAGCCCTAGGAAGGAGGCAAGAGCAAATACTTTCCAAAAACCTTGCCAGGAAAATTGCAAGGACTAGTCCTGGCAGTTGCCAGGAGACAACACTGACTCAAAGGTACCAAAGGGGTGGGGGGGGAGTGTTTGCTTTTAGCTCATACCAAAAAGCATTCCATCATTTAAAATTAGTAACAAAATATCAATTTGTTTTCCAGCAGCATTTTTAAAAATTATTGAGTTCACATATTGTTCAAAGCCATAATATGGCTTGCTTGATAATGGTTTTATTGTATTATGGACTCAACCATTTTAATTTATTTAATAGACCATTGTTAGATCAATTCATAGCATAGCCCAGTGTGTGAAGACAAACGGTATCCATTAGTGTGTAAATGGAGAATGGGAATAAAAGTAATCAATGTGTTCTTATTTTACACTTTTTAAACATCAGAAAAAAGAGAGCTGCTAGTTTTATTTATTTTTTTTATCTGTTCAGTTGTGTCTGATTCTTGGAGACTGCCTGGACAAGTCCCTGCAGTTTTCTTGGCAAGATTTTT